TAATATACAAGGAAAGGTGATGTTGGTGATTCTAAAAACATGTGTTGCATTCTCCTTTTTAAACCAAGCTTTTGTTTTACTTTCAAAAAAATAAAAATGAGAGGAAGTGGGATAGAGGCAGCAGGTGGTGGATTCCTATCAGATAGGAGAAGGTGGGTTTTGATTCTGCGAGGGATTTATAACACCTTTGCTTTATTCTGAATGTACGTGGGTGATCAGGGAACCCAGCAGAGAGCTAGAAAACTTCTACATATTGATCTTCTATAAAGCTCAACAAAGCCGGAGTCAAATATTATTCTTAACAGACCCTCCAGCTCCCCAGACGATCATTTTAGTCTTACAATAAGTCCAAAGGCACAGCTGTAAGCTTCCTGTTTGACAGTATCTATTTCTGAGCGAGCTCCACATAACAGTGTGTAAATCTAGCTGACAGCACCGGCTCTGCCTAAACGCCAGGAAGCATCATCCATTACATCCCCATCAAATCCTTGCAATTGGGTTATAGGCCGAGGAGATATGCTGGTGCAGCTCTGGCCCTGATGTTAAAGATGAACGGCTAAAACAATAGTGACAGAGTGGAAGGGAATATTGCAGATAATTTCAGGAAATGTGATTGTGAAGCGTACACCACTGATGGAGCTATGGGGGCGAAAAGCAGTCCTTATCGGACATGAAGAACTCATTTGTGATAAAAAAATTGCTCAGGGTTTCTCTGTACTCGTATAGTGAGCTGGGCAGCATGTGCGTTCGTCTTTGTTGAGTGTGGGCAGGGTGCAGTTTTTAGCTCCACAGCTTAAAAGATTTCAAATTTTAGTCAGACCGTCACTTCAGTTGAAAAATTGGGATATTAGAGGATCTCTGGGAAGGGCCGACATTTATCACAGGAAGGCGTAATCCTCAGAGAATATCCTGATTGGAGTCACCTTCCGACATAGTGGAGATTCTGCCTACAGAAAATATTTTCAGTCTACTACAACATCCTTATATGATATCACCTTGGCACATATAACTCCTCCATCTGTTGCGTAAAGCATGACTCACTACACTACATGCTAGGCTATAGCAGTTAGTAACTAAACGTATGTGTAGTTAGGATCAAGTGTACTTAAAAAAACTAAAATAAATCCACTCTGATTGGCTCGACAAGCGAATATTAAGCCAAATCTTTTCATTTTTTGATAATATTTTGTGTCAAAGCCTAAAGTGTGAGTTTAAAAAAAATAGAACACCTTCTTCCTCATGTTGGCTGCTTCCCCTACATGGTTTTTAACTATTTAAAATTTGAGATTTTGAGTATGAAAAAATTTGCACCTTTCTGCCTAGCTGGTGGTTTTATAGCAGAGCAACTGAAGGTGTGAATTAAAGTGCCTGGGTTAGACTTCTAAGACAACACTAATGTAGTTTCTGCCCAGAAGCAGCTGAGTATAAAATTTGTGCTTTGGATTGAAGATGCTTTGCAGCCACAATAGAAGGTCTGATCACCCAGTTGAACAGGGAATTTGACAAAACTGTGCAGTGATATACAGTATTTCTTGCCAAACATTGAATAAGCAGCACTAAAATGTCCAAAGATGGAGCTGCTCACAGGACATCAGCTGCATACATTTTATCCTGCAGCAGTAAAGCTTGAAAACAGAACAAAATTGCAGAGATATGTTAAATATTTTCTGCCTTGTATCATAAGTGTGAGACTCTACACTGTTCCCATTGAGGTCCACTCCATGGGGTGCTAAGTATCAATAAGGGATTTGAGAACGACCAGAAATAGCCCAGATAGGTCAGCTTTACAGGTTTATGAGAGAACGGTTTTTAACAAGGTTTATGTCCACCAAATACTCTAGATGTGAAAGCATTTATAAGCCACACATGACTGTTTATATTTTTCAACTTGGGAGAACAAGAGAGTATGGCGATATTTCAAAATGGAAGGCAATAGTAAAATCAAAGATTAACGGGAAGTCAGAACTGACTGCTTTGCTTGATGCAGGGGAGAGGTCAGACCGGTGAGAGCAGAGACTAGAGTGTTAGTCTGCCAGTTCGCAGGACATAAAAAATCAGGCTGTAAACAGTAATCCACTGGGGGAATCAAGAAAACAAAAGAAAATGAAAGCAATAAAATATGTGGTGCGGTGGTGGTGGGGGGGCAGTCTGACTGCAGCAGAGGTGATGCAAAGAATTCAGAAATGAGAGCAGAGAAACATTGAATGCTGCTTACATTTCACCAAACATTTTTCTACTTGTCACTGCAACACATTCTTCTACTTCTAAAAGGTCACTAAAGTTCAGGTAGAACTTAGGTCATCCATAATATTTCTTTTACCAATGCAAACTGAGGATAAGCATGATAAGGCCAAACATAAAATAGATACAAAAGAAGAAAACATTTTTAATTTTAATTAGTAAAAATATGACTGCTTTAAGGATTTTGCAAGATGCAACAGATTTTGTAAGAGTAAATGGGAAAAATAGTCAAATACAGGAAGGGGACCATTAGTAGTTTTTTACATAATTTAGAGAAAAAAAAATGGCTTCCCACTTACAGATACATACTGTAACTGCTGCTCCTTCTGCAAAGGATTTAAAAAAATGCTTTTTGCCTTTTCTAATTCAGACTCACTTGCTGTCACAGCATGGAAGTCTCAGATCAACTCACAGAGATAATATATGTAATAACAGTTTGTATATAGCAACACGCATAGCTCTACTAAGTCAGTGTATGTGGTCATTTCATGTATATGTGCCTTTAAAACAATGTTACTACGCTGGCCTGTCTACAGAGAACTTTCTGAGTAGAACAAACTCTGGGAGTGAGAATGAGATTAAAGAAAACAGAATATTAAAAGAAAACTGTTGTTTAGAGGATGTCTCGGATTTTATTTTATAAATGTTTTTTAAGAGGATTTAAAGCTTTTTAAATTTACTTAATTTATGGTATGTGTCACATTTTATATCCACCTTTTACAAGGTACAAAACTTAAGGTATGTCAAGTGCAATACAAAAGGAAACAAATGTTCTTATATCCGTTAAAAGCTAAACTAATTTATTATTGATGACTTTCTGAATAAACAGATAATATCTCTTGTGAAATGTACTTTAAAACCTTTTTTAGAGAAGGTATTAGCTAATAAAAACGTAGACAGGACCAGGAGTTAAAGCTGATTGAGTTACAGCGTTTTTTCTCACGTCTCCTTCTCTCACAGGCTGCTTTGATTCCTGCTTCTGACCTCAAATCTCATCCCCATTTTGTTCGTCTAACTCAAACCTTTTTTTGTCCCAAATAATCCCTTGATTACGCTTGCTCTTTCATTAGCTGCAGGCCCTTTCTGCCAAGCTGAGCTGCTCTCCAGCAATAACAGAGTAAGCCACAGGATGTTCACGTCAGCGTTGCCTGGTTACCCAGAACACAAACTGACACCTTCAACACGTTTGTATAGCTAAACGTATACATTTGGACATTAAACATATCAACACCAGGCTGATGCTCCTTATGTGTTTGGGTTAAATTGCAGCCAAGTCAGTATGTGCTTATCTTAGTACAAACAGGGATCTGGAGAGGAAAATGGTTGATCTGGTTCCATCCAAAAGTCACAGAGTTCAGCTTCCAGAATCAAGCAGTGACTGGGTTAGGCCTTCAGGTAATCTTTTACACTTGACTATTAAAAAGAAAAAAAATATCCAACTATATTTCATGATAACGACTTTCTGTGTCTGATTTCACAGTAGATGCTGAAAATAATATGAAATCACTGGATCGACACTAAGAAGATGGTTCAGCGTGATTTGTCTGCTTTAATAAAAACAGCCAGCTAAATAGTTAATTATGAATTCTGAAGCATTTTCATCTAATCTGATTAACCTTTTTACTATGGCAGCAACTGATGATCATTTTGCAAATTGATTAATTTGCGGATTCTTTAATAATCGGGTGGCCAAAGCTTCCTTAAAGAAGACTTTTTACGAAATTAAACCAGGTGAAACTAAAACTTTTCCACTAGAAGAGTTTTGGATACAGCATATTGATGGACAAAAAGTTTTTTTTTTTTATCTGTAATTCCAAATATTTATTTATATATATATTTTGCATTTTGGTAAAATTACTGCTCTAAGTGGGTTACTCAGTCAGCTAAAGGCACATTTTAAAATATCTATACTCCAGTTAATGATTCAACAATCACTAAATTAGTTGACGATTTTTATTTTAATAATCGATTAATCTGGATTAATCTGATTAATTGTTTCAGCACTTATTTCTATGTAGATGATAATACAGTACAACCCTTTAAGCTGCAAGATGTTCAATTATCCCTTTGCAAAAAAGAAAACAAAAAAAAAGAGATGCATAATTTGTGCTAAAATCAGATCAGGTTAATATCGGAATCCCATTGGAAATGAAAAAGTTATATCAGGACAAAACCTGAAGAGATGCTAAAGTGAAGAAAAAGACAAGTATAAAAACTCTTTCCTCTGATTATGCTGGTACTTACTTGGTTACATTGATGTTTAAAAATGAACATTTAATTGATTTTTTCTCATTGATATAAAGTTGTAATTTTTTGCTTTAACTACCTTCAATATCCGTGTTATATGCAAAACAGTAGTTATATGAAAACTTGCTATACAAAGTGCATAAAGAGTGATTTTGATTTTGTAAATTATGCTGAAGTGATTACGCATTTTCTCTTTGTTAACTTGTTACACAGCATCTTGATATTTCTCTGAAGGGGAAACAATAAGAGTAAAACCATAGAAAAAAGTTATGGTTGTGCACAGAATGCAGTAGCTGTATGAAATAATAGTTGCATAACACCTACCAGTAATATATATGGAGTATGGAAGTAGGCTTTTGTAAGATTATACTATATTTTAATCAGTTTAACAAACTAAACCACTTTTCGGGACGCTTCGTTTTTCCTGCTTTCTTGACAGCTATCTATCCATAATGAAACAATACAAAGCAGCATGGACCTGCGTATTCTCAGCATGACATCAGCAGACTTACTTTTCATCCACGTTTGCAGAGTTTCTAGATGAGAACTGGACGACCTCGCTGTTGGAGCCCTCCTTGTTTTCCACTGTGCCATTGGCTCTGATGAAGGGGTCCTGCTCAGTTAGCGGGGCTGCTGGTTTACTGTTGTTCTCCAGGTTCAGCAGGTTCAGGTAGGACTCTGCACACTCCCCTTGGCTGGGGTAGAGGGGCCATGCAGGAGCGGAGGTGATGAGCTGGTCCAAGGCATGATTGTACTGGTTTTTCAGATTTAAGGATAATGATTTTTCTGAAGTAAAGATTGAACTGGGTGCCGTCTGTGGAGCATCTGGAAGAGACAGAGAGGATAGTAGAAAAAAAGAAAACCAAAAGCTAGATTTTCTTTATGATTTGATGACTCAGCACAAAGGAGAACCTGTCATTGCCCCCACCACCCACCCCAATCATGTAATTTTTTATCAGAAGGGAAAAAAATGATTAATAAAAGCATGAAACACGATGTGACAAATTATACGACGTGTAGACAAAAGGGAAAACTCAGTATGTGTTTATTTATCATCACTAAAGGAAAATCACACATTTTTTCTACCTATTTTAAATACAGATGAGTAAAAATTATTGTAAGGACCAGAAAATACCTGTTTTTCATTCAAACAGAACTCTCACTGAGAGCCTCTAAGCGTGGGATAATGCAGACAGAAGGCAGTTAAAAATGAACTCTGCACAGTTTGAAATGTGAAAGAATGTGTGTGAAACTCTTGGGCTATAAAACAAAGGCAAGTTGAGGAACAGTTTTTACATTCAAATATTACAGCTTAAAAAACAGAAATACTCTTGAAGGAATCTCATTTTTTCAATATGCCTCAAATGAATACACCATTTTGATCTGGATGACATGAGGATGACCTAAGCCTTAGTCTAATTTGTGTTTAGTGATAATTAGTCGAAGTCATCCTGCTGACATCCAACTAAAGCCCTTGCTTCTGTGCTCTGAAATTAAAGCGTCTCTGTTGCTATTATGGTTTAACATCAACCATAATCATTATGTGCAAAGAATTAGAGACAACCACAGCCTTGATGTCACAGTATTGAAACATATCGGTGTGAACGATTCCATGAATGTATCAGACATGAGCAATGGACATACTGTGGCAGCTGTCTGCTGTTATTTACAATCCTTCTGATTGGTTGCTTATTTTTAAAGAATAGCTAAGTTTCTATTATAAAAGTTATGCAAAGTTTCACAGTCAGTATCGATCATTTTTAAAATTTGTTTTCCATTCAAAATACTATTTTTTGTAGTTTAAAGACCACCAAGAACACATCATAATAGACCATCCACAAATGTTTCAGTGCTGCCATGTATAGTAGTATACAGTATATAGTAGTGTATATATTATATATATATATATATATATATATATATATATATATATATATATATATATATATATATATATATATATATATATATATATATATATATATATATATATATATATATATATATATACTTCTTTACATAAATATTTTAAAGCTTTTAATCAAAGCTTTTAGAACTGTTTATTTCTCTTTAATGACAGCAACACATATGATATCTATCTTTAACAACTTTGCCTATTTTTCTTTGTAAAACATCTTCTAGTCAGACAGACTGCCATCTGTAAACGGTGTTATAAGTTTTTCCCTAGATTCTTAGGTCTTCTATTTAATTTGGTTATTTTATCACAGAATTTGCTTTGATTTAAACCATTAAAATGTAGCTTTAGCTTGATGTTCAGGGCTGTTCTCATCCTGCAAAGCGAATCTCCAACCTAACCGAAGGCCTTTCAAGCCCCGTTGAGGAGAAACATTCCCACAGCATGATGCTGCCACTATCTTGTTCCATTTGAGGAGACTTTGAGAGTGATGTGCCGCATTTTCCACCACAGAAAATAATTACTATGAAGACCAAAAAGGTCAGTTATGGTGTCTACATTTCTGATGATAACCTTAAAGCATAATTTTACTTTAGTATTTTTTCATATTTACTGCAGTATTTTGTTGTTAATTAAATATAATTTAAACTCAACAGATTTAAACAACGCCCTGCATTGTTTAATTTTTGATATCCAATCCTTTGCAATTTACCAAGTGGAAATTGGTGCTTCTTTCCACTCTGCTTCTTGGTTACAGGGAACAAACAGCAGATTGACTTTAAACAGACAGAACTGATTAAATTTAGTCCTTTTAATTATAAATAAGCAATATTGTTTTTGTTTAACCACATGCACCTTCTTTTAAGGTCATATATTATATTATTTCTTTCAGCTTAAGGCCGCACAGACCGATCCATCCAAGTGAATCATATTGAAATGCAAAATTCCAATTAATTCACATTGTTGCTAATAAAGATGTTAAATTTTGGATCAGGGTCTTTAAGCCTGCTTTTTGCTCAGTTGCTTTATGTTGTTTAATTATTCACAGTTATCAGCTTAATAACATAATACAGTAGAGATTAGGTTCACATACAAAAATGAGTGGATGGAATTTGAATATATTTAACCTCAATCCTCCATGGTTCTGTCCTACTGTTCTAATCTAAATAGCACATAATTTCAACATTAACATACTACATAAAACATACATTAGATCTTCAGAAATGTGTTATACTCATGGAACATCTAAATATTTTGGGCTGTACTTATATAGTGCTTTTTCAAGTCAGAGGACTTGAACACTTAACTCTACATTAATTGATTCACGCACACACTGACGCCACCGGGCAGGTGTCTTGCCCAAGTGCATAATGAAACCGTGAGCCGGTGCTTGAAAAGTCAACCCTTTGATTTCAGGACAAACTCCTACATCCAACACCACTGTCGCCCCGACAACTTATCTTTATCAAACCATGACTTCAATGTTATAATTTCTTTGTTACACACAATGAACATTAGTGTGATTGGCAAATCAGAGGAAAGGTACATTTTCAGTATATCAGATATTTTACATCATCTGTTTAAATGCCCCGGAGGAGTTGCTGCTGAGCTATGTCCGAGTAATGAGAAGAAACATCTAATTTTAATACTGCTTCCTGCCTCTATAATAGCTTTCACTAACCAGAGAATTCAGTTTAATTGGAAATGAAATAAGTTTAGTTACTTAGCTGTATATTAAATTAGTTAAATTAAATCTGCTAACTTAATTAAACTCAAGGTAAAATTTTTATGTAAAAAATATAAAAAATTTAACCCATAAATCTCTTACTGCATCTTTATTTTGCACCAAATAACTACTTCTATTCTTTTTATTTACATCTGAGAAAATGAAAGAACATGAACTGAAAATATATTTTTATCAAAAATGTAATAGAAAAAGCCTTGTCCATCATTAAGGATTTATTGAATTGCTTTTAGTCCCACCTTGATGACAGCTTCTTTCTCTGTTTTGTTCAGTAAAATGTTTAAAGTGGCATGAAGGGAAAACTCTTTGTAAGGCTGGATTCCTAAAAGCCTCTGAACCAATGAAACATATTCTGTTTGCAGGCAGTGGGAGGATGTGAGCATGATTAGTGCAACGACTGTTTGTTTCATATGCAGACAAAGAAACAAGCCTGTGGTGAAGACAGTAACACTTGAGGAAGCTGACCTGACATTGCCTGCATTAAATTACCCCCCCGTCCTACTAGTCATTCATAGGGTCACTTACCGAGTCTGTTAGCCTGAGTGTCCTGCTGTGACTGGCCTTCTTGTGTTTTTATTTGGGACTGGCCCTCCATTTCTTTCAGCTGCTGCACGAGCAGCGCCAGGTGTTGCAGCAGGTCCCTGTTTTGCAGCAGCAGCTGGTGGATGCGGGCCTGAGCCTCCATGCGAGCTGCGGTCTCTGCTGCTATCTGGTCCTTCAGCAGCTGAACCTTAAAGAGGAGCAGAGGGCAGAATGTAAATCCATTAAAATGCCACTTTGATTATTCTGTCTAATTTCCCATTGCATCTCACCTCACACCCCACTCAAATAATAAGCCATAACTTAAAAAATAAAGGCTCCTCCATATTGATCATTTCAATTTACTAAAATGCTGTTGGTGTTTCATAGCTTCCTTGAAGCTGAATAGCTAAGAGGTTTGTTAAACTAAGTTCCACATAAAAGAATATGGTAAGCATTAATGCAGTGCAGCTTTTACTAAAAATATCATGAAGTTTTTAATACCTGTTAATGTAATCGTTAAATATCAGTCCTTATTTTTGTTTCTGTGCTGCCCCCTAGTGTTGCAGAAAAAGCATTAAACATTTTTTACTTTCTGAGCATCTTGGATTATATTATATCAATTGTACTGTCTTGTAATGTATTATATTATATCACAATATACTGTCCAAAAACATGACTAATTAGGTGCGTAATGATACATCCAGTCTACTGTGTATCTATCAAAAAAGAATAAGATAAAACAACTGTAGAGTGCATGGCACTATTTGCTAAGGTTAATTTCTTTTTTGTTTTTGTAAGTTAAAGAAACAGAAATCAAAATTATCTAATGCAATTAAAAAAAAAAATCCTTAAATAAGACAATATGAAGAGATCTTCAGAATATTCTTACGCTTGTAATCTGCTTCCTACTGTTCCCATTGGAAAACAGTAAGCCTGTGTGTGGTTGACCTAAGGTTCACACCTTTGTGAGCTTCCATTTAGTAAGACTTTTAATTGCCACACCTATCTCAAACTAATTAACTGTGTGAGAGTCCTACCTGTGCGACGGCCACCTGCGTGTGCTGCTGTTGCTGCTGCAGCTGTTGCTGAAGGAGCTGCAGGTAGTGCTGAGAAGCCAGTGGAGTAAGAGACGGAGAGCGTGGGCTGTTTGCAGTGATGCCTTGGGACGTCACAGTGTAGACAGACCTTTGATCAATATCCTGACAGAATATATCAGAAAAAAAAGAAAAAAGGTTATTGTTCTAGTAATAGAAAAACAAAAAACAAAAAAACACTGTGGTTTTTAAGATATCTGCTTTCAGTTCCCAAAAGCTTACTAGCTTCCCTGTCCTTGGAGATTTAAAGATCTGATCTGAGATGTTCTTTTCAAAATTACAATAAAGAGAATAATCAGAGATCCATATCATATCCTTTGTATAAAAAACTCTGGTCCAATTGTCTACCAGTATTCCCCATGGGCACTTTAAAATGATTTATCTGATGATCTGCAGCAGCACTATTTTCTCTGAGGAAAAAGGACAGTCCCTGCAGCTCACAATGTCAGCACAAGGATGGACGGAGAAAGATAATTTTGCTTAATATGCGGGATCTCATTGAGAAACTTATGTGTATCTCTTAGGTGGGGCTGCTGAGTGAGACAGCATCCATGCATAAAAACACATGGAATCTATTTTTGCCGTCTGTCTTTCTGCCAGTGTATAAAACAAGTGGATGCACTTTTGTAATGCCCAAATTTAACCACTAGAGGGGAACAGAACCCAACAAAAACAGGCATGTTCAAGATGAACAACTAATGTTGATCTTGAACATGCCTCATCTTAATTAAAACACATTAACCAACAGAAAATACATGTATTAAGAACCTCCCTCTTTTTTGTAATACAAAATTATAATTTTGCAAAAGTTAACTGTGTTAAAAGAGATTCTGGTAAAAATGAAAAATATCAACTGAAAAAATGAAAACATCTTTTTTATTTCTACTTAAAAATGATGGTCTACTTTGTGTTGCTCAAACACGTGAATTCCATAAAAAAACACCTTTTTGTTGTAACATGAAAGCGGGAAACAGTTCCAAGTGCATAAATACTTTTGCATGTCCATGCATATGGCTTTGCAAAATAAAACTTGTTGCAGAACAATAGACCTGATTAAATGATCTTAGCAAATATACCTTTACTGCAAGTTTGAAAAACATTCATTTTGTTTAATTAAGCTTTGTTTTGAACCTAATACATATCTGGCTCATACATTTAGAAGGTCAACCCCACCTTAGAGGCTTTAATTAACTGACTATCTGTTTTAAAAGGTCTTTTTGAAAGTTTATGTATGTGAAAATGTGCACTCTTTGCTGTCTGGATGTCTACAGTAAATGAGAGGTTTTTTGTGTGTAGCAGACCTTTAAATGTGGTCTACAGAGCTGATCCAAAATGTTATCAAAACAAACTATTTTCTTCCTTTTTTCAAAAGTACAAAATACAGAATTGCTTATTATGCATTATCTAATGCAGAATTGGCCAAATATATAATTTAGATGTTTAAAAGATTAGAAAACTACATCCCCCTTTTTAAACCACGTTTAAACTAATGAGGTTCTAAGTAGTAAGTTTTAAAAACCCTTGTTTTCTGGATGTGGAAGAAGCATTACCGGTATGTTTTGATTAGAGTTCTGGATGTGCTAAATGCTAGAACTGTTGTTCCTCTTCAGTTGCTGCCTGATGCTGATTAAACATGAACAAACTGAAATTAAATATCTGGAACCCTATGATCTATTCTTTGAAATTAAAATCAATACAAAGATTAATCCTAATACTTGTTTGTGGTAAATTGTACCATTCAGTTTAAAAATATTTTTGTTTTTTAATTAGGCCATTAGAAAAATTCCACTCCTAATTGTTTAATATCTTTGGCCAAAAGTTGATCAAAATTATTTTCATGCGCTTTAGGGGGAAGTTAAGGCTGAAGGTTATGTGTCTTTTTAGAAAAAATACAAAGTAATTATTGGTTTTCAATATTCTACGTAAATTATAAAGAACCCTGTAATTGCAGAACTTTATAAATACATTGCTAAACCAGTGAATTACTGCAGTTAAAGGTGTTTCGACATGTCAGAAATCCTGTGTTATAAATTCTCTGTTAGCCATTTTGTTGATTTTTGTTGCTGTTTTTTTTCTTATACATTGCCTTCTCCTCATATGTTATATAACCAGCAACAAAGTGAGCTGATATAGATGAGTCATGATCTCCAGGTTGCTTCTGTTTTTTTTTTACTTGCCTCAATTTTTTTGTTGTTCCCTTTGTTCATTTAGGCCACTTTAGGCTTTTTTTGGATATTTACTGTTATTTCTCTTTTGTCTCTGTACATCTGTGCCCCTTGATTGATAGTTGTTTTTTTTTGTTATTTGTGTCCATATTCAGCCCATAATTAGTCTCCCTCTCTCAGCTTCTGTGTTTTTTTATTCCTATTATAGCTGCCCTGCAGCTACTTTGACTCCTTTTGTGGTTTGCTAGTTATTTCTCCAACCCAGCTCCAGTATTTAAGCCCCTATGTTTCATTGCCCACCTCTGGATTCTTCCATTAAACTGCTCTCTATTCAGCTGCACTCTCTGTTAATACTTTATACTGTCCGTTACATTCTCCTGTGCAACATGCCCCGTTTCTGCTGGGACTCTATAGAAAGTCTTCTTACTATCCAATTAACAATTATACAGTGTTGTAGAAGAGGACCGAATATTCAAATTTAAGAAAACCTATCATATGTTTGCTGATGTAGCTCTACCATTTCAAAGCGTGCATATGTGTTCTCAAGTATCTTACCATGATAGTCAGGCCTGGTTTCACCACGTTCAGTTCAGTCAGGCTCTGCAGAATCTCACTGACTGTCTTCTCGCACAGTGTACCACCAACCAGAGAATCTCCTCCTCCTGCTCCACTCCCTCTGTCATGTAGGCCTTCATCTTCTTCATCTTGTTCACTTCCTGTGAGTTTATGAGCTGACAAAGAAAATGATTTAACTTTAGATTCTTCCTTGTGTGCTATACTCTGGTGAAAATTCCCAAAGGTCCTTTAAAAGCTAAAACAAGTGAGATTAAACCAGTCAAAACTCAAAGGTTTAACATAGATGGCAAGATTGTTGAAAGCTTTTATAAGCGCAAAAATACAGTAATTTGCCTAGACATGATGAAGAGCTTTGTAATGCCTTGGAAACAGGGCTTCACTCAGTAAATTACAGCTATTAGCTCAGTTTAGGTTCAGCCCACAGACACCAGTTTCAAAGGGCATTTAAGTCTACAGTATTTGTTTTTCCTTAATTTTGTGCATTACCCTGCTTTACTGGGCATCTTTGCTTTTTCTATTTGATAACTGCTCAGTAATAATAAGCTGGTAAAATTTTACTGTAGTATTAGCTTCAATTAGGCATTTCAAAAGCCGCGTTCAGAAGGAAACCAACATTTCGGGGTTAAAGTGCCCTTAAAAGGCGAATCCTTGCTTGGGATAGCTATTTAATCAATATGACACTAATAGTAGAATGTCAAGTTTCTAATACCACCATGTATTCATAAAAAATAGTTTTTTGCACATCCACCTGAAATAAAGATTTAAAATGATAATAAAAAATCAAAGACACACAATTAGCCAAAATCCTTAAGCTGCTTTTATGCTTGTTGCTTGTTTTTTTTTGCATTGAGCAGCTGAGGTTTAAAGAGATGAAAAATACATTTATTCAAAGCTTCTAAGGTCTCAAAAAGACAGCTTTGCAAAGAACCTCAGTCTTTTTCAGTTTCTGGCTGAGAATAAAACAAAAAGGTACCATTTGCCTCAGGGGGGCTTAATATCCAGGTCAGATCACTCAAGTGAATTATGTATAAACAAGAAACTTTTATTTGTTTCACAACAAACTAGGTAGATGAAAACGCTGACAGGTTCAGAGGTAATCACTAATCTCAAGCTGAGGCTGGTGAATCTGATGAGGACTCATTGTGTCACTGCATGCGTGTCAGATGTTCCCAACAGGTGCTCACATCACAACATAATCCATACTGTGATATACTTACAGCATTTCTGTCACTTGATTAAACAGATCAGTAAAAATGAATCTATCTGAACATTACAGCTAAAGAGATCAGAAAAAAAGTTAAATTTATATATATAACTTCTATAAATAGTTGTTATATTTTGTGCGGGGTCTTCCTGTCTTTTGGTCTTCTAGGTCATTATAAAACTTTAGTAGCAGTTGTTTTTGACCTGGATGTCTTCAGAGTGGCTCCCAGCTTTCTTCTATTTGATTTACATGCAAAAAGTTCCTTGGATTTATTTTTTGGTCTGGTCTCTAAAGACAACCTTCTCCATTTCTTGAAATAACACTTAAAGCCTGCTGAATTATGCAAAAAAGCTGGATACATAGAGTATTTTTGTTTGTGAATATGTAAAGAAACTCTTACATAAGAACCTTTCACATGCTTTTAAATTTGGATTGAAGTTGCATCTGAGTCAAAGTAATGTTTCCTTGTTCCCTACAAACTGTAACAGAACATCTTAAAACTTGTTGCCCACAATAACTGATTACAAAGCCTGCAGATTTGTTCTCATCAACTATCTTCTGATGTCTCATTCATCGGGGCCAGACTACATTACACATTTAATCTCACATTTAGTCTGGTTTACCAGGCTAGATTGTTTGTAATTTTGTTAGACTATTTCCACATCAAGTTTTTCCCTGGGGGCAGAGATCACTTTGTGCAGTGCAGCAGCCCCTCCACCAGCAAAATACCAATAATACCGGTAACAGGATTGCTGCCACCCTTCACAGCTGGAATACTTTTCCTCTAAATGCAACAATGGCCATTTGGAGCAGTTAAAATTGAAGTTCTATCAAAGTAAAAGTATAAATACAAACATGTATTACACTGAGAGAACTGCTTCTTGTTGGCTGTGGTCTTTCAGCCCTACAGCCTAACAGACACAGCAAGTCTTCAGATGAAGACACACGGGGAGGTCTCTTCATTTGCCCATCTGTGCATCAACCTATCCCGAGGAGTCGATATAAAATTGTTGGCAGTCATAAATAAACCTTTCATGATTTGTCTTAGTATTTATGATAAGTAACTTCTACCAGGTGATTTATCTGCTAGGTTTGTCAGACAAGGTCAATCCTATGGCAACTGGAAAGCGCTTTGCCTGACAACCTTCCCCTCCACAGAATGTGTTTTTACATTTTAATATCATCAGATCATGACATCTCATCAATTCCCCGGCGGTAATACATTTAGCTTCATTAATGTGGTTTTTTACAATTTCTTGGTGCTGTTAAGATACAATTAAGTCCTCACCGTAGCTGCTGGGCTCCTCCGTTGACTTATCACTCTCTCCATCTGGTTGTCCATCAGCGTCCTTCTCAGCATGCTGCAAACTCAGCTTATGGCACACCTCAAATGCCTGACCCACTGTTCGCACAATACGCATAGCCTGAGTCTGAGGAGGAGGGAAAAGTTAGGTCCCTGCTAGCATAGAGAGGCATTCAAAACTGAGCAGAATATGCTGTATGAAACACTACAGAAGAAAGATGCAACACATTTATCTACTCAGCTAATCTATTTTTATAAGAAATAATAAAATATGAATAACACTGCTGTGGGAGAGCTGACTATTAGGGAAATACTGGACATCTGAGCAAAGACAATGATCCTTTTCTGTAATATGCATTTGTATGCCTTGTCATTTAACACAGCTCCTTTGTATGCACTGCACTGTAGGCTGTAGTTCTGCTAAGTGAATTGATATTAACTGAGCCAACAGAAATTGAAATCCAGATTATTTAAAAACTCAAAATGGATAACCGAACAGTCATGATCAAAAAACGGATTCCAAAAGGAGGCAAAATTGAAAATGAAGAGAAAAAAGTAATTGTCCGCTGATAGATTTCTTCTATTTTTGACTAATTTTAACATAAGGCAAAGAGCATCAACTTCTTACATTTATTTCTGTTAAAAAGTAAAAAAAAAAAAAAAAAAATTCAAACCAACAGGTTCTGATGTTAAAATTGTAATTACCCACCAGGATTAATGACTAACTGTGATTAACCATGTTTTTTATTTGAATTCACAAAAAGCAAACATGGTGACGGCCAGACCAGTAGAGTCAAGATAACAATTAAATAGAACCTATCTGACAACATGAAGAAGGGTAAAAGATATTATAACAGAACAGTCCCTTCAAGAAATGAAACCAATGAGGGTCTGATATCTGTAAAAGTCTGGAAAAGGCAGCAAACCTGTAACATTATAGTAAACTCCAGTGAGGGTCATCCGAGTAGCACAAGGCTTGGATAGCTTCTTTCCAAGAAATAATGGCATCACCAGTTTTACCAGTTAAAAAGTACCTTAAGCATGTGATTTTTTTTTCATTTTTCTATTATTCCATTTGCTGGAAAATCTTAAATGTTTCTGTAACAAAAACAAAATAAAAATAGACAGCATTCGTGAACCAGAAAACACTCTAGTCCATTATGTATACAGCGACTTTAACCTTCTGCAGCCTGTGGATGAACATCTTGAAATGTTCACCCACTTTCTCTGTCATCAATAAGCACCTAAATGTGTTTTAGGAGATTGCACAGTGGGGCAAATTGTACCTTCTTTTTAGATTTGAAGACGTTACACCTGAACGAATTACTGGAGCCATCTCTTGCAATGTAGCTGAAGATCTTCAAGTCTTGGGAGTCGTGAGATACGTAAAAAATCCTGTAAATGATGAAAGCCGGTTGGCATGCTGAGTGGAATAAAATCATAAAGACTGACTTTTTAAGTACTCATAATTTAAAACAATGGCCTAAATAATGGTAGACCAAAGTGGAAGAGATCTTACTCTTTACAGCACACAGAAAAACATTTACTGTTGTGAATACATTAGTTCCCGTTTGCAGATAACTTAGTGTAGGCATAGTTTAAAAATTTGAGATTAATGGTCATGTTTGTGTGTCCTGTAGTTGCTTAGAAATGAGTCATAAATGCTTAAAAACATGAAAGAACACCTTAGATTAATGCATTAAACATAATTCAATATAACAGATTCATATTGTAAATCAAAGACCAACAAACTATATATTAAATAAATATAATCAGGATGGAAGTTTCCATCTGACAGTTTGAGCTTGTAGCTGACCTGTATATTGGATCCTGCATGATCAACATCTTGCTCTCATCCCATGTCCACTCTTTTCTCTGTTTGGGTACACATCAGCGCTGTTAAGGCTGGATAAAATGTAACACCTTCATATTGTAGAGTTTACTCCTACTGACTCACCTTCTGTTTTTTCCTCAGTGCTACTTTGACTCCATCTACAGACACCACAATGCTGACCTTCTTCTTCTTGATGTTCTTGGCTTTGAATTCATACTGGAAAAGAAAATAACAGACACATTAGTGTCTCCGAGTGGGTCTAAAAGGAATGAGTAAACTAAATCTGAGATGCCTACATTGTTCATTTTTACTCAGCGTTGGACTGTTAAACCACAGTGGATCTTAATTTTCCAGTGTCCTGCTAAAATATATAAATTTCAGATAGACTGGTCATCTAGGAGCTGATCAACCATGTCCAAAGTCTTTTACAGCTTCTAAAAAGGCTTCTTCATGATTTCCCTCCAGCTCCATCTGTAATCTAATAAGGTTTATCCAGCTTTACTGTCCCACAGCATCATACTGTCACTACCATGGTGAACAGTGGTGTGGATTTTCAGGGTGGTGTAGCTTTTAGCATTTAGACTAACAGACTTCTTGGTCTCACCTTCCCAGAGCCATTTTTCCCCATGTTTCCAAACTGTAAATTAGTTTAACTTTTTCTTTGTCACTCTTCCACCAGAGTCCACATTTGTAGAATGAATGACTAAAGATTTTATCACTAGATCAGTCAACCTAAGCTTAAAATTTGTAGGAACGGTAGGAATATGTTTGGAAGGCACTATATATTTCTATGCAGGTATTTTCTCTACTTCAATAATTAAAAAACATCAACAGCAGCATTCGTTCTTTTTTCTTTGTTTTTTTCAGGAAAACAAATAGCTCAACATTCTAAAGTCAACTAAGAGATGGTTTGATTTACTAATGCCAAAAAAACAACAACAATAAACTACTTTAAGGAGTAGATTTTAAGGAAAGGGACATCAAACCTATGAAAAATTCTCAATTAATGAGGAAAAACATCCAAGCTGTGTGATTATCTTTATTGTGCCTGCTAAGTACATGCACTTAGTCAATAACATGTTTCCCCTCGTCAGCTGACCTAAAAGTCTGCAGAGGCACCTTACACGACTGGTCTGTCAAATCAAATCAGGCGTCAAGTTAAACAAGAAGCACACTTAGAATCTCTGTAGATATAATCCATGAAGGCTTTCAGTGGGACCATCACAAGCTAAAACTAATCTAATTCAGCTGAGAGAAGACTGCTTTGCTTGGGGACTCAACAACCAAATGCACATTTAATTAACATATGTTTCAAATAACCTTCATTTATCCTCATATTTGTCATTTTCTTCTGGTAACAGCAAATTAATGGATTAGCTTTCATATAAGAACTGGAAATAGAGTGAATAGGGTGAATTTGAACATAAATCTAAGCCAAAGTGATCATAAAGAGGGTGCTTCGTGCATCACACTAGGGAGCACTGTTACACGAATGAGACGACAAGCATGGACCTTCAATTCTAAACACTATGCACTGCCTCTGCTGTAACACCTGCACAATTCAAACCACATTTTCAAAATGAATGAGAAGCAGCTGAATATAATCTTACGGTTTGGAGGCCATTTGCTGGGTAAAAAATAGCCCTTTTTTTTTTTTTCAAAAAACACTTTCAAACACATTTAGCAAGAGGTTCCGTTTTTAGACTAGTGAGGAGATATAACATGTACCTTTACAGCTAGCACGGTTTTAATTATTCTATGAGGAATTCTTTCTTTTATATATTTTTTAATCAAAGTCAGTTATATCAACAGCCACTATGCCATTACATACATAAAAAGTTTGTATTACACTGTTAAAGCTGAGTTTCTGTGTGGGAGATGCTAGCTTTCCTTTCATTTTTTATCAGTCATTTAATCTTTTTTTAAATTACTTTTTTGTGTGTTACATTACATTACTTATCTTTTCTCCTCACTTTTAATTGTTGTGCTACTGAAATATGGAGCCTAGGCAGAAGTTTTGCTTTTCATACATCCACCTGCGACACAGTCAATCAGCTTTGAACTACGTCTCCACGAAAGCCAATCTGCATCCAAGGTTCATCTTAAAAGGCCTCCGATACGCACTGTCTGCTCCTGTGTGACTTCATTTAGATGACACTGTTTCAACCCACCTCCAGCCCCTCCTCCACCATCGTAGCTAAAGCTTCATCAGAGTGTCATTCCTCCTGAACTCTTACTGGGTTCCCTGTCTAATTTCAACTGCAGAAGACCAGCAGAAGACCGGCATGTTGAGCCTGGTTCTGCCAGAGGCTGCTTCCCAACGGGGAGTTTTTCCTCTCCACTGTCGCTTCATGCTTGCTCATCATGCTTCCAGGTCCCTGAGTGAAGCTCTAGTATCAGCCCACGCAATCCACTGGATCTCCCCATAAAGCAAAGTTAAGCGCTATGTTTCCTGTCGAGGTCTGAGCGCCAAGGACAAAGTAATTTTATCAATAAATATCTCCTAATGGTCTTTTCTCTTCATGTGAGTTTTTCAGATTGAAAAGCTAGATAGATAATCTTTATTACAGATGTAATTAGGTGTTTAAAAGCTTTATAATGTTTTTTTGAGCTGGTTGAGGACTTTAATTTGCTGTAGTGTGGAGAAATCTGCTTGTTTTCAAGCTAACCTCAACTTAGCTGTAATATTAGAAACATATTTTTTCTAATATATCGCAAAACTAAATCCTAAGTAAATACTTCCTTCTGTAATAGTACTGAGGCAAATGTTGGCTTTTCATCTGTTTTTCTATGCAAGATAAAATAAAATGTTAAACAGACTAAATTAATAGTGTCTTTCCAGCTAATTCAAAGCACTTTGCACTAAATTAACATTATTGTTGTATTCTAACTCTAATATCTAATGGAAATTATTCTCAGCAGGGGAAAAAACACTGAAGCATTAATAAGTTTAACCCTTTATTATATTATTTATATAAGTTACAGTTTTTGATCACTCACATACCCCTTAGAGACGGAGTCCCCCATCCATTAAAGAGGTCTCAAAGCACAAGACTCATATCCAGCTATTCAGCAAAGATATTGCTAGTACTGTAACAGTACAGAGTATATAAGGGCAATTGGCTGTTTCTTGTTATTACATTGACCTTAATTTTTGCCATCAAATTAAACATATTTTTAGAATTTTACCAAAGTAATGGCTTGAGATTTTGATTTTCAAGAGTATTTCACTGAGTCCCCCTGAAAGGGTTTTTAGCATAATCATCATTTAGTGCATCAACCAGAATAAAAAGCAAATTTTTTGTGATAAAAAAATGAGGATTGTGCCTGCTGCACTCGCATGTGCAATGACTACACAGAACAGGAGGCAGAAAACTCTAAAGTTTCTATAAGGAAGTCTGGTGAATCGGCCAGAGGAAATATGAAATCTTGGCATGTTGAATATCTGTCAAAATTCTAATATTGTGTATCTCTAGATATACTCATAAACTATACAATTTAAAATAATGCTTTTAAAAAAATGGTAATTAAAAAGGGAATCACAAATCTTTTTTTTATTTTTTATAGTGATCAGTAAACACTGAGCCAAAAGACACCATAAATGTTTTATACATTTTTGTTTTTTGCAATCCAGAGAAGAAGTAAACCAAAAAAATTGGGTTTCTTTTTCTGGAAACAATTACAATTTTAATTTACTTTACTTACATGCACATTTTTTTTGTATCATGTCTAACAACTCCAACTAAAGACATGGTCTTCAAGCAGCAAAGTGATTGATGTTCTTATTCTTGTACTCATGTCCTTCAGTAATATTAATGAGTAATAGAAATTTAAAATTGAGGCTAAAAAATAAAAGAAATATTACGGTGACCACAACCAGCAGGAGAAAAGAATGAAACAGATGTTTCGCGGTTTGGAGAGCTGGTAAGAGCAGGTTTGGTACAGGTAGCAGCATATATAAACCTCCTGGGAAATGCAGTCTTATTATCAAGCTACCCAATGCTGCTATGCAACTATTAGCCCAGCATGTGCCTTCAATGCTTCAATTGCCTTTTTTCTGTTTAGCAAATGAGTGTTTTCATTTACCAAAGGAGTTTTTGTTGTTTAACAATGCTTTATATTTATGATCATATTCTGCTTGTGTCCTTTTGAAAAGCCAGTCTCTCCCGGCTCTAAATCCATGGTGATTAAAGTTTCAGTCACTAATTATCCAGACTCGAGTCCTCTGAGAGCTGATTAAATGGAAAACAGGGGTGAAAAGCAGAGACACACCAGAGACACTAAAATGGAGGAAAGGGGAGGTGAACCTGCTGGAAAATGGAATAATGCTACCATAAGATGAAAGGAATATTTCAGATCTGAAGTTCATATTCATTTGTTTTTATTAAAGGCAGCTCATGAAGTCAATGAAGCACTAATTCCTTGTGTGGATCTGGTAGTGTGAGCTTCTAATGAGCTGACTTCATTCAAGGAGCGGTTACAGAGCAGGATAAAGATTTTTATGGGAGGGGGGGCTCAGCTAGCAAAACAGATGACAAAAACATCATTATATTAAGATTCTTAATGCAAAGACAGATATTCATGCAAGCAGTCATTTCAGGACAGCACATGCCATTTAAACATTCTTTCATTCACTAACTGAGGGTTTCTGCATCCAAATGATGATATTAAAGGTTCATAAGAGGGATAAGGATGTATAAACAAGGAACTATCCTTTTAGAATAGAACTTTATTGATCTCACAATGGAGAAATTCACTTGTGACATCGGCTTTTATAAACAAACAGAAGGTGGAAACGGTGCATTATGTATATACAGTGCATCCAGATATATACAGTGGATGGTAAAATATAAAGGAGAGATTTCAGGTGACTTATATATACATATACTTATAGACTCAACTTTATTTATCCCTTGGGATTACTTCTTCAGGGAAATTGTGGTTCCAGTAGCATATATAGACTACAAAGAGTTAAAGTAAGATGCCATAAAAGATAAAAATATGACACAATATAAAAAGAGCCTATATAGTACAAAAAAGCATTAAAAAAAAAGTTGTAATGTCCTGAAATATATTTCCCTTAGATATAAAATATCTGCACACTAGAAAGCTAAAGGAAGACTACTCAGTAGTTGACTTGGGTTATTGCACTTGCACTGCAGAGATGTACTGACCAGAGATGTACTGCAATAACAAATGCCACAGTAGTTGGCATTTGTTATTGCACAGTGAGAGAATATTGCATATGAGTGACAATAGGTCATGCATTTTTTTTTTATTTAACCTTTATTTAACCAGGAAAAAAAATCCCCATTGAGATTTAAAACATCTTTTTCAAGGGGGTCCTGGCCAAGAGGCAGCAAAGTTACATAAGAAAAATATTAAATTAAAATAAATGACAGGTACATAAAAAAAAAAAAAACGCATACCAAGTAAAACAATTACAGATCATTGAGGCTGCTTCAAATTCTTTCACGTTCAACTAAAAAGCATTTAAAGATAAAAACTCAGTCAATTTCCAGTTTCTTTGTGAAAGATTCCATGTACAAGGAGCTGGGTAACTAAAGGCTTTCTTCCCTAGTTCTGTGTGGGAAAAAGGAACAGTGAGCAAAAGGCTGATCGTTGGAT